TATGACCGTTCCTCATATTTTGGGCCATAAAACGAGAATTCAGGTCGATTCCCAAATTTTCGTTTGCTATAGCCCACGCCTTCCATGTGGGCCCGGAGCCCTGGATCCAGACAACCTAAAATTTATCCATAAAATATAAAATTACCTAAGGAACGTTGGTCACCGACCCGCCATTACCGTTCCTCAGGTTTTAGTGTTTATGGCCGTAAAACGAGAACTCGACCTGATTTCCATATTTTCGTGTGCTACGCCTTCCGCATTGGCCTGGGCCCTCGGACACGGACCGCCTAAATTTTATCCAAACAATAGAAAATGACCTAAGGAACATTGGTAACCGACCTCAATAACCGTTCCTCCTTTTTTAGCGTTTTAGGGCCATAAAATGAGAATTCGGCCCGATTCCTATATTTTCATGTGCTATAGCCCACGCCTTCCGCATGGGCCCAGGCCCCGGACCCAGACCGCCTAAAATCTATGTGAACAATAGAAAATGGCCTAAGGAACATTGATCACCGACCCGCCATGACCGTTCCTCAATATTTAGCATTTAGGTGCCATACAATAAGAATTCGTCCTTATTCCGTTATTTTCGTGTATTATAGCCCACGCCTTCCGCATGGGCCCGGACCCCTGGACCCAGACATCCAAATATTTATCCGAACAATATTCAATTACCTAAGGAACATTGGTCACCAACCCTCCATAACTGTTCCTCATTATTTAGCATTTTTGGCCATAAAACGATAACTCGGCCCGATTACTATATTTTTGTATGCTATAGCCCACGCCTTCTGCATGGGCCCGGGCCCCTGGACCCGGACAACTTAAAATTTATTCGGACAATAGAAAACGACCTGAGCAACATTGCTCACTGACCCGCCATGACCGTTCCTCATTTTGTTTAGCGTTAAAGGGTCATAAAACGAGAATTCTACCCGAATCCCATATTTAAGTGTGGCCCATGCCTTCCGCGTAGGCTCGGGACCCTGGACCTGGATCGCCTAAAATTTATCCAGACCATCAAAAATGACTTAAGGAACATTGGTCACCGCCCTTCCATGACCATTCCTGATTTTCGGGCGTTTTAGGGCTATAAGATGAGAACTCAGCCTGATTCCCATATTTTCGTGTGCTATAGCCCCCGCCTTCCGAGTGAGTCAGGCCCTCGGACCTGGATCGCCTAAGATTTATTCGGACCATCAAAAATGACGTAAGGAATAAATGTCACCGACCAGCCATGACCGTTTATCATATTTTGGGACATATAATGAGAATTCGGGTCGTTTCCCATATTTTCGTATGTTATAGCCCATGCCTTCCATGTGGGCCCGGACCCTTGGACCCAAACAACCTAAAATTTATCCGAAAAATATAAAATGACATAAGGAACATTGGTCACTGACCCGCCATTACCGTTCCTCTTGTTTTAGTGTTTATGGCCATAAAACGAGAACTCGACCCGATTCCCATATTTTCGTTTGCCACGCCTTCTGCATGGGCCTGGTCCCCCCGGACACGGACCGCCTAAATTTTATCCAGACAATAGAAAATGACCTAAGGAACATTGGTAACCGACCTGCAATAAACGTTTCTCCTATTTTAGCGTTTTAGGGCCATAGAACGAGAATTCGGCCCGATTTCCATATTTTTATGTGCTATAGCCCACGCCTTCCGTGTGGGCCCAGGCTTACGGACCCAGACCGCCTAAAATATATGCGAACATTATAAAATGACCTAAGAAACATTGGTTACCAACCCGCTAAGACCGTTCCTCATTTTTTAGCATTTCGGTGCCATTAAACGAGAATTCGTCCCTATTCCCATATTTTCGTGTGTTATAGCACACGCCTTCCGCGTGGGCCCGGACTCCTGGACCCAGACAACCTAAAATATATCCGAACAATATAAAATGACCTAATGAATATTGATCATCGACCCGTCATTACCGTTCCTCATATTTTAGAATTTATGGCCATAAAACGAGAACTCGGCCTCATTCTCATATTTTTGTGTGCTGTAACTCACGCCTTCCACATGGGCCAGGGCCCCCGGATACGGACCGTCTAAATTTTATCCAGACAATAGAAAATGACCTAAGGAACATTGGTAACCGACCTGCAATAATAGTTCCTTATTTTTTAGCGTTTTAGGGCCATAAAACGAGAATTCGGCCTGATTCCCATATTTTCGTGTGCTATAACCCACGCCTTCGGCGTGGTCCTAGGACCCCAGAACCAGACCGCCTAAAATTTTTGCGAACAATAGAAAATGACCTAAGGAACATTGGTAACCGATCTGCAATAACCGTTCCTTAATTTTTGGCATTTTAGGGCCATAAAACGAGAACTCGATCTAATTCTCATATTTTCGTGTGCCATAGCCCACGCCTTCCGCGTGGGCCCGGGCTCCCACACTCGGACCACCTAAAATTTATACGGATAATAAAAAATGACCTAAGGAACATTGGTCACCGACGAGGTGACGAGAGTCCGTGCGTAGCTACTATTATGCTTATGTCCGGGTAGTCTAGGACCCAAATTGCGTTATATTTGCGATGCTTGCATCCTACTTGATAATTTAACCGTTTAAAATATATTGGAATTTTATAAAGGAATTTTAAAAGGTTAAACTTCACCTACTTGGGTTTCGGACGGGTCACTTGACCGTTAATGAGAATTGATATTTCTTTGAACATCAAACCTAAATAAATCCTTAATTTGGTGGTTTGAATGTGTTTATCTTTTGTGGAACGGGCCGAACGCCTCGGCAAATCAAATAGATGCATCTATGGTTCGCGTCATTCGACCCTCTGACAGTGCACCATTTAAATATTTGTTAGATCAGGTCGTACTAGCTCGGTATGATTTGCGCATGACTTAATTGATTGTTTGGAATTGATTGTTTGGAATTACTGATAATTGATATGGCCTTATGGACGGAGATATCAATTGTTAAAGGATAAAAATAAAATTTGGAAATCCCCTATGAACAAGAGAATTATTTACCTGCCTCATGTTATGGTATTTACCGTTGCCTCATAAAATTCATAATTTATCATATCGTCGGTATATTAATTATAGCTCATAGTAAGTGTCCAAGTCGACCCCTCGTCACTACTTCTTCGAGGTTAGGCGGGATACTTACTGGGTACGCGTTATTTTCATACTCATGCTACACTTGCTGTATATTTTTATGCAGGTACACATATGTTTAGAGGCCTTGTGGGCGTAGATGCGCGATTATGGCGGGGACTTAGGTGAGCTACATTCTATACGACGCTCCGCAGCCAACAGAATCTCTTTTAGAGTACTTACACTTTTTCTGTCCAATTTGTATTCAGGGCAGCTGTTGTATTTTATTTTACATTCCTAATTAAATGCTCATGCACTTGTGACACCGAATTTTGGGATGATTATAGGTTGCATTGTATTGGAATTTTTAAATATGTTATTATGTATTTTGCAAACTCCATCTTCGACTATTTAATTGATGGAAAAAATTATGATTTCAAAAATATTAAAATAAAAATTTACTAATTATTGGTGTTGGCTTGCCTGACAGTAGTGTCTGGTGCCATCACGGCCTTTCAAGGATTTTGGGTAGTGACATATATCATGTATTCATTGAGTTTGTCTAACAACTGAGTGTGAGTAAGTTTTTACTGCTCGACGCCCTCTATGAAGATTTATCCAAAAATCAAAATGCTCAGGTATCGTCCTTCTAGCCAATTCTATTGATATCTCAAAAAAGCCAAGTTCCCTCTCATTAATTATGCTTGTATTTATTACTAGTAATAATAGAAGTTTCCTAACACAGAGTAGAAAAATGTTGGGCAATTTTATTTTTTTGTGGGTCAGAAATGTTAGGCATTTTTGGCGCATGAAAGATGTTTATAATTTTGAAAAAAAGGGTAGCGGGAAAAAGGAAGAATGGTAAAACGGATGTTTTGTAATAAGTTTTGAAATTAAGTTGTAAGGAGCATAAAGTACTATTNTACTAGTAATTTTGGGGCCCTAAAATATTTGGGGCCTAAAGCAAGTGTTTCACTTGCTTTAGGGTTGGGCCGCCCTGAAGTGAATTATTTATTTAAGTTTTCCAACCATTCTCGAATCTAGGTGTAGAAAAAAGTTGAAAAAAAGGTGAAGAAAAGAAAATAGTAAGTATTTCTTAAATCATGTATGCATAATTTTCAATATCTTGTTCGAATCCCACAGCGATGGTAAGAACATATGTATATAGTAGAAGTACATGTATAAATAAATATAAACAGCATCGTTTAGTAATGCATCGTTTAATACATTACTGAACAATGTCTGATATGATTGATTTACTTGCACTTCTAACGTGTCATTGACTATGATCTTTTTGTTTTATTTTTTTCTTGACCCTTCACTTACTAAAACACACTTACGTGAATTTTGGTTAGCAGTTAAGCGTGTTTAATATTTAGCCAAAGTTGAAGATTGAAGATTCGATTCATTAGATTCTTTAATATGAAATTTTTGACTTTAAATAATTTATAAATAAATCACAAAATGTCAAAATCAAAACTATCATATATTTTACGCAATAAATAAATAAATTATTTTAAAGCTTTCTCATGCATAATACTTTTAAAGGACCTCAGAACCTCATATAAGTGTAAAATTGAAAAGGCCTTTCATCCATTACTTTTGTAAATCAAGAGCCAAGCAACTGGTTTTTTGTCCTTGTTATAATCTCTTACTCACCGTGAGGCGAAATACATTAAAAAAAAGATAACAACCCATACAATAATAATAATAATAATAATAATAATAATAATAATTATTATTATTATTATTATTATTATTATTATTATTAAATTTTTTTTATTTTAAGATTATGAGAATTCAAAAGGTGGTCCTCTCCTTGGTGAGAATACAACTATAAAAGGATGTCATAAGGTTTCTCTCTACATCCCATTCACAGAGAGTTCAGTACTATTTTTGTTACCTCTCTTTTCTCTGAACTCTGTGACAATGTTTCCCCTTGTGCCTTTTGCCATGAATGACAACTCTCGTCAATACAGAAGAATCCCCATTCTGGACCGTCAGTTTCAGGAACAACTAAACCCTTTACCATTGAACAATTTACAAGGCAGCTTGGCTAACCAAAGCCACCAACCTCTGAGATTTCTTGGAAAATTGAATGTGATGAATAATTATGATGATAACAATCTTCGTTTCTTTGATGTTAATGTGCCTCAAGTTGAACAAGAAGTTGACCAGCCTAGATTGGTCAAACCTCGCATGAAATGGACTGAAGAGTTGCATGAAAGTTTTGTCAATGCTGTTGCTGAACTTGGTGGAGCATGGGGTTAGTAACTTTTTACTTTTTTTTATATCTATATTTTTATATATGGTTACATTGCTTTTTATTTTTTTCCTTTTTGGCTCACATTTTTCTTTCTCTTCATTCAGTGTAATTGTTGTGTGTTTGCATGTCCTTTTTTTGGTCATTCGGTGACAGTATTTGTATTGGAACTCCAATTAATTTATTGCTGGTTCTTATAAGCAATATATATTCTTCCTATACATTTCAATCTATTTAATTTGCAGAGGCTAAGCCAAGGGCGATTAAGAGAAAAATGCAAGTGACGGCTATAACTCTGTACCACATTAAAAGTCACTTACAGGTATCTTGTAATCATCTTTAATTAATCTTCATTCTTCGTAGAGTTGTAATACTAATCAATCCAATATTCTAATATTACTCAAAATATGATATTCTCTGCAGAAGTATAAAATGGCGCAGGAGCCGGATGGCGCGAGAAGAAGGAAGGCGATGAGTATATTAGCTTTCCGTTTCTTTTTTTTTTTACCCCTCACATCAACTACCCACTTTGCTCTTTTAGACTCGAANCTTGATGCAATAGATAACTAGTATAAAAATCAATTACACTGGCTTTTTTATAAGTTAAACTCATGAAGAAAAGAAATAGTGATAAGTAAATCGAGTTCAACTTGCCAATCATCTGATGGTCGTACAGATGAAAGAAGTTGTGATGAAGTTCCATACAATGCTACCTTTCGAGGATCAAGCTGGTTCCTCGAAGTTTGTGCCTAGGTTGCCTCAATTTTCATCGATCACGCTTGCTCCTCCTGCTGCTGATGTCTACATCCCTCAGCCTCCAACCGAGGCGGCGAACGTCCATGTTCCTCCTGAAATGGAAGACATGGTGGCTCAGTCTATTGATGAAAACTCTGTGGAAGATTTTCTCCGTGCCTTGGAATTGGCTCCCTAAATTTTGAAATTGGGATCATATATATAGAGTGTTTCTTTATGTGATTCCCGATTTTGAAGTTTGTTATGGTTGTTCTTTGATTTTATTTTCATTTTTGAAGCAAATAAAACACCCAACTCCTTTGGGACCGGAATAGTTACCCAACTCCTTTGGGACCGGAATAGTTATTGTTATTGTTATTGTTATAGTTGAAGCAATTAAATATTGTGCCTTCGGGGACATATGATAAAAAAGTTATTAATAAAAGTTGAGTTTTATCTCCTTATATTTGTCTTGCTTGGCACATTACTCCATTTGATATTTTGATTGAGATTTCAAGCAATGGAATACAGTCATCAGAAATATTATTTACTCTTCAATGCTTACATTATTTCCCCATCAAAGGTAGATATTTTATTAATGCAGCAAATAAATAATTTGAGCAAAGGTGACCATAGCATCATTTACAATTCAACTAGGAAAATAGTCTTCCCAAGTTACTTCCTTTAATAAAGTAACAGAAAACTTACCTAAGTTATGTGCTAGTTTGTTTAGACTTTTAGGAATATAAATAAATTCGACATGATCAAGCAAAGCCGATAGCTTCGAAATGTCTTCACAAGTCACTTCTATCTCCCATGAGGTATTAATTTTTTTTCGGATCGTATCAATAACACTCTTTACATATGATAAAATCTTCACCTTCTTCCAACCATTTGTAATTGCACGTTCAAGGGCCATTCTTATCGCAGGCGCTTTAGGAGTCATGGCTTTTCCCACAAATAGGATTGGAGATCCATAGGCATGAAGCAGGTTCTTAAGGCTATTGTTTACCCTCAAAATCGGATAACAATTAAATTTATAAGTGATTTTAAGGATACGTGGATTAACTTGACACAAAACGATAAATTAGATTGCAATTGAAATAAATAATGATAAAGTAAATGCAAACCACACGAATTGAACAGTCTCAGCCTTGGACGGTTAATCACCCTTGAGACGTATGTACTTCGATCGGTATCAAGACAACGAAGAATAAGATATTAAAGAGAATAATAATGTATTGCTTTGGAATGCATGTTTCAATGTCTTTTATAAGTAATCAGACCTCATTTATATAGTAGGGGAGTCCTACATTAGTTACAACTCTATAAAAGGTAAAAGAATTCTTGATTTGCTGATTGTCGGTTCCTTATTGATACATGTCGAGATTTTCATCGTAATATCTGACCGGTTACGGATATTTCGGTCTTCTGTTATGCTAACAATGTTTCTTCGAGGTTGTTTGAACCAGGACCGATTCCGGAGTCACGGCCTCGGCGTTATCGAAGGTAGGTGTTTGGTCCCGGTTGCTAACCCCGTGGGGCTTGGGGCTGATCTTCAGTCCTTTATTACTATGTCTCGAGCTCGGCTTATCATGTTGGATGCTAGGGTATACTATGAGCTCGATTTTACTTGTATACAGATAGTCCCCTCATTTTTCGAAGAGGAGATGACGAGAAACGATATGAGCTCCCGATTCTCACTTCGATATACCGTGACAGAAATGATAAAATAGTTGAAACGTCCCGTCGGTCTAGTCTTAATGGCATTAAATTCTTGTCAGTTACCAGTCAGCCACTCCCAAATGTGAATTGTCGCTGGAAAACTATAAATACCCCTCCCTTTATTCATTCAAACTTTACATCCAAGCCTTCTTCCCTCGTGTCTAAGAAATTTTAATACTTCCAAGCACTCATAATCTGGTTACTTTGAGATCTTTTATAAGAACTCTCATTCGTCTTCATCTCAAACCATCAAGTAGACTGTTTTAACTTCATCTTTTCCCTCATTTTTCTCCATCTTTCAAAGAAATGGCGAAGACTTCAAAATTCGTTCCCCAATAAGAAACTCCCTCTACCTCGCGGTGGGCTATCGAGGAAACCGTCTCGCATACTGCTATCGAAGAACCGGTACCGGAACCTCCTACGAAAATGTTCATCCCCGGGGGGTGCCCGATCAATATAAATTTTAAGGTCGAAAATCCCTCCTCCGTACCAGACCGGTGCGAGGAGGTCTCGAGGTACATCTGCTCGATCACCGATGATATTCTCTCCGAAATCAAAAAGGATTGCAACTGGGTTGACAAACATGTGGTGATTCCCGAACCTGACGAAGCCATCATCACCCACATCGAGGGATTTTTAAGTGTTTACACTTATCCCTTCACGCTGGGCCCCTTGGACCCGGTTATCATCAACTTTTGCAAAAGATACGAGGTAACCCTCGGTCAAATTCATCCTTCTTTCTAGAGGATCGTAATCCTCCTCTGTTTCATTGTAAACAAGATCGAAGGGTGAACCTTCACTATCGACCACCTCATGCGTTTATACAGTCCTCGACCATGGGCGGACCTACCTTGTAGGAAGGGGGTTCAGTTGAACCCGCTTCGTTGGAAAAATTAATTATTTTCACCTTGGAATTTCATCAAAATATTATGAAACTGATAAATATTATAAGACTAGAACTCACTTGACATAAACAGAAGCTATAGAGTAGTGGCAAAGTGGTTTCAAAGTAAGGCCAATGTCCTAAGTTTGAACCGCTGCTAATGCAACGAACTACCTATGGCCTTTTTACTGAACGTATAAATTATTTTGCTTATTGTTTCCTATTTTGTCTTTGTTTTCTTATATCGCTTTATGATTCCTTTTTTTTTATTTAAATACAATAAAATCTATTTTTATTAAACTCCTCCATTTTACTTCAGAAAAATTTAATCCTTTCTACAAAATGAATATTTGTTCTAGTAAGTTATAGAAATTACTTGTAATCTTTTAATTTAGTTTAATTTAGTTAGTATTGAAATTGTTAATTCGTGTTATATTTAAAGCTTTAGTTTGGTATAAAATATCTTTTTCTTTAATAATTTTTATAAATTAGTTTAGTTTATTACTCTCTTTTTTCATGTCTTTTGTTTGTAACAATTTTCCATGTTAAATTTCTTAAATCTATAGTACAATTTTTAAGTAGGTTAAATACTTTTTGGTTAAAATTGCTAAATTTTCTGAAATAGAATTTGTTAATTTATATAGATAAATGTTTAAAAACATTAATGGACGAAATTTTCTTTGTTTTTGTTTTAAATTTCCCCCTACCATAAAAACGAATGACTTCATTTTGAAGTGATTTGATGTACAAAAAAGAGCAGTGCACAAATTTCGTTTACCGCTGCACTTATACAATTGATTACCGTGATTTTTAATTGAACCTGCTTATATAAAATTTTGGGTCCGTCACTGTTCCCGACTCTACCGGGGGGACTGATCAAGCTCGCCCGTCGCTCCAGTAAAGCCCCGTTCTCGAGTATCGATGAAAATCGGGATCGAGGTTGGCTAGGCCCTGAGAAGTGGAACATGTCACGTAAGTATAATTTTGCTTCCAAGATTTAATTTATCATTTTTTTCCTTTCTTCTCATCGGTGTTGTGTGGTGGTGCAGTTGTTGCTCGGATCCCGAATGTAGTTCCTCGACTCAAGGAGTGGGTCGAGGGCATCGTATTACAAAGGCCATATTCCGAGCGTTCGTGGCGCGAGCTTTCAAAGGTCGATGGGATGCCTGTTCGCACGGTGAGATCTCTTTCATGAGTAATATTTGGTTTCCCTTTTGCATCATTAAGTTCTCAATTGTTTATTTCTTTTTGCAGGTTTATCCAAGCATGTCAAAATGAGGCCCCCCATCCGGTAGCGATGATTTTCCCACCGAGTCCCCTGCTCCGAGACAGGATGAAGAGAAGAAAAGAAAAAAAGCTCTGATTTCTCCGAGCTTGGAGAAAAAGAAGCCAAGGAGATGGTTGGTGCATAAATCCAAAGAAAGAACCAGTGCTCGAGCACTGTCTCCGAATTCACTCTATCGACTGAGGGATGAATCCGAAGGAGAAGGAGAAGCCTTCGATCTGAAGGCCAGCGTGCCATCGCGGCTCGAAGGGCAAGGAGCCTCCAAACCAGAGGGAGGCGATACCGATATTCATCAAGTTTGGGAGGTCGAGGAGGAGGCCGGGACCGAAGCTTCCCGGGATGTGGTCAATGCCCCGAAGGAAGCACTCGGTGTGATAGAGATCACTGAGTCACACTCGTTTACTGAGTCCATGTACAACGAGGCCTAAATGGATAAAGGACGCCCCAATGAGGGGGTCCATGGAGCGGACGACCCCTTTCGCGGGATTTTTGATGAAGAGGACTCTACGGCCACGGAGGACGTCACCGGGTTGGGTGACTTAGAGATACCAAGGAAGAACCCATCTTCGGGAGCAAGCAGACCTTCCTCGGGCGCCAAACTGGTCAATTGATTCCCTGCTCCGAGTGTGAATCCTTGTCGGAAGCGATCCATAGTTTTCTCCCATCCGAAGGATGCCCGGGTCCTCTTCCCCCGTAGGGGTGGCCATTTATCTTCGGTGTCTGGTGACCGAGGATGATCAGGCTAAGATGAATGAGGTGGATGCACCCAGTATGTTCAATGAAGCACAACAGGCGTTAAATCGGGTAATCTTTAGATACGCCTCAATGGTTTTCAATTTATACGTAGGTTATTTTATAGATAACTCTAACATTTTCTCTTTGTGATTGTAGGCCTCGGTGCTTCACCGCGAGACTTTTCTCCGATACTGGGATGAGCTGAAACAG